GGGATTTCCATTCTGGTGACCTTCCCTACTGGCCTATTGTCCTACTCTGCTCAGGTATAACTGCCTACTGCACAAGCAAGGTGTGTGTGTGTGTGAGTGTGTGTGTGTGTACATGAGGAGGAGTCACTGCAGAAGAAGGTAGAAGCCTCAGCAGTTACAGGGAATGCAAATATAGAGGAAAGAAAAGCAGAGGCAGGAATAAGGGGAGGGCTGGGAGGAACCTGGGTACACACCCTGCCCCTGGTCCATGTGACCAGGGAAGTGATCTTGGCCCAGAAGGAGGCTCAGTGCATAGGGAGGAGGAGCAACACATCTCACCCAGCAGGGCAGCAGTACTTGTGAGCATTTCTGGATTCCAAGTTCTTCCCATAGAAGGAGGGACAGAGCAGGCAGCAGACACCATGGAGTCCCCCTCAGTCCCTACCCACAGAGGACTTGCCCCCAGGCAGGGGCTCCTGCTGGCTGGTGAGAGGGGACAATTACCTGGTGGTGGATGAGAGGAGGAGAGGCACAAACTAGCTGGGGACTCCTGGGGAACAGAGGGCTCTCAGAGAAAACAAGGGGTAGGGGACAGGATTCTGTCTGAACTTGAGGGGAGAAGACAGGGGAGCATAGTAGGATGGGAGAAGGAACCAGGCAACAGGAAAATGATGTGGTAGTGGTGAGGGGCAGGAAAACCTCAATGGCTGCTCACTTCCCAATTTACTCATCATTGAGAGTTGAATGCTGAAAACTTTTGATAATAACAAGTTATGTGAGGAGATAGGAAATTTAAGCAGAGGCAGTAAACATTGTCCTTAACACCAAGCTCAGAAATGGGCAATTACCTCCCAGGAGGTATAGGACCCTGCAGCACTCACTCATTCACCCACAGGTACTTACAGCCTGTTGCAGGCGCTGGGGTTCAACAAGATTAGACAAGCCCCTGCCCCCATGAAGATCATGTTCTAAGGGGAGGAGGCAAACAAGGTAAGATCTATAGGTGATGTCAGGTCCCCACAATGCCATGCAGGGAACAGCCCAGGGACAGGTCAGAAAGTGAAGACAGAGGTCTGTAGAGGAGGCGGTCTGGGAAGGGGTCTCCCAAGGACACTCCTGAGTGTCAGCAGGGGTCTGAGGGCAGACACCTGGGTAACAGTAATCACAACAGAGGAGATACTTATGGAAATTAATTGGCCAGAGGAAAAATTAGAGCTTCCTGATCTAGATAATGAAATAGTAGAGTCTTAATTCATCTGGCCAAACATATCATAAGGTACAAGTGACAGTGGATGAAGGATGAAAACATATATTAGCTTAATAAAACATATATAATAA